GTTTGTTTTATTAGTGTATTATAGTTATACATAATAGCTGGATTTGTTTTGACAAAATCATACATGTAAGGAATTTGATTTATTCCATTTCCATCTTCTCCCCATTCCTCTCTATCTCCTCCTCTCTCTCCCTATTCTCCTTCCTATACTCTACTGGTCTTTCTTTCACTTGTTTACTTAATAGTTTATTTTTGACCAGTGTTTTATGTATATAAAGGCAGAATTTGCTGTGGCATATTTATATATACACATAGCATAATTTTGTTGAATTCATTCCTTTCCTGTCTTTCTTCTCCCCTCCTCCCTCCCTCTCAATCTCCTTCTACTCTCCTGAGCTTCCCTATGATATCTGAACACCCTGCCCTGTCACTATTTTCCTTTATTTTGCTCTAGCATCTGCGTATGAGACAAAACTTTCTACCCTTGATTTTCAGAGTTTGGCTTATTTTACTTAGCATGATGTTCTCCACTTCCTTCCATTTACCTGCAAATGCCATAATTTCATTCTTCTTTATGGCTGCATAAAACCCCACTACATTTTCTTTATCTATTCATCTATTGATGGTATCTGGTCCCAGCCCCATTTTTATATTTTATTTTGAGACAGGGTTTTACTAAATTGCTGAGGCTGGCTTTGAATTTGCAATCCCCCTGCCTCAGCCTCCCAAGTAACCGGGATGACAGATGAGCACCACCACTCCTGGCTACAGTGAGTTTCAAATAGAAGTAAGTGAACCTACATATAACAAGTTACAGTTATTTTCATTTGAAACAAACAAACAAAAAAACAAGTGACAGCTTAGAGTCCCTCCATGTCCCTCTGGGTGATGGCAGGCCAGTCTCTCAGAAAAAAGGATCCTTTCCCCCCAAGTCTGCTATCTAAAGGCACTGAGAGCTCCATCATGTTCTCTCTGATTTTATCATCATCACGAGATCTCCAGTCCAGAAGCTGAAATTCCCCAGGGTATCACTGACTAAGGAATACTACAGGCTGCCTTTTCCCAGGTAGGCGGGTATCACAGAACTCTTCCTAATGCAGAAACATCACCCCGTTAGTTAGTTCTTTTTTATACCTCCAGGGCTCCCTTTGCCTTTAGGATCACTGGAAATGCTGGAACATGGCTTCCCAGGCCTTGCTCAGACAGTTTCTGTCCTCCATGGTCATAGCCCACCTCTGTCCTCAGTGATGACCTCAGCTACTGGAACCAGCAGTGTTTGCTTTACCCTCAGGCCTTTTCCCACAGGCTTCCCTTTGCTGGGAGTTTTGTCCCAACTTCTCTCCTCACTACCCTGGGGGGCCAATTTCTATGAAAACACGAGACACATTTTTCTGGTACAGAAGTCAGTCCCTTGGGCTTGTTCCTGCCCAGAGCTGTTGCCTCTGACTAGCAGGACAGGTCTGCCCAGAGTAGACAAGCCCCAGCCACTGGAGATAAAGGCCAACTGTGTTTTTATGGCTTGAATGCACGCAAGTGAAAAGATTGAGAGCTGGCTTACAAGACTCCTGGGAACTACCAGAGACTCCTGGGCAGGCAGAGCTGGCTCATCCTACCCTGGGCCTGAGCCAGGAATAGGTTCTCAATCAGAGTTAGTGTACTGGCAGGATTCCTGGGACTTGTCACCTGTGCCAGGGCAGATCATCGATTACCTATTTCAATCCCAGCTCTGACAGACACCAACCTTAGACAAATCTCCCAACCTCTCTAAATCTCAATTTGCTTGTATGTAAAGTGAGGGTACCAATAGCTGCTACACAGCATTGTAATGCAGCCTGAAAATTGACCATACAGATAAAGCACATGAAGGAGGAGTAGTCATTGAATCTGAACCTTCCCTGTCCATTCCCTGATGCTATCCATTTCATCAATGAATGCAATTAAATTTAATTATCAAATTAGCCTCAGTGGGAGGTGGGTAACCAGAGCTCTTGCTCTCTGGGTCTGCTTTGTCTGGGTCACAGTGTCCTTCCTCTTCAATGGGCCCTAGATGAATCACTTGGCTTCTCCATAAGGCCACCAGCATCTGTTGCCCTGGTCAGCACAACAGTCTCCCTGCAACCATTGGGGGCTCTTTGCTCCTATCCCCACTCCCACCAGTCCATTCTTTTCACAGCCTATGGTGGTCTTGAAAATAAAGCAAGGCTAATTATTTTACTTCCTGTTTACAACCCCCTGCTCTCCCTGCTCCCCAGGGACACTATACTACTGAGCTACATCCCCAGATCTTTTTCTTTTTGGAGATAGGATCTCACTAGGTCGAAGAGGTTGGCCTCAAATTTGTGATACTCCTACTGCCTCTGCCTCTCAGCTGGGATTACAAGCATGTGCCCACCATGCCCAGCAAGATACTCCCATATATCATGAAATTAGAATCAAAGCCACCACCACTTTGCCTGCCTCCTCACTCTGGCTGATCTCTGTGACCTCTCTGGTTGCCCTTCCTTTCCTGGAAGAACTGGGTTCCCTTCATCCCAAGCTGGCTGTCATGACTCTGGGAACTGCCAGAGGAGACTCCCTAGGTGAGCTGGCTCATCCTGCCCTGGGCCTGAGCCAGCAGAACCTGCACTTGGTGCTCACACTACCTGAAACATTGCTTCCTCCAGGAATGCTTTCTCTGACCCCAGAATAGAAGAGGCCCTCACTCCCACAGATCAAGAGATTCTCCTTTCTAGTTCCTTCTGTCAGTGGCTTCTCCACAGTACAATGATCTGATTCAGGGCTGTTCCGCCAGTCAGCAAGAGGTACCATGGGAGAGGGAAAATATTTGTCTTACTCACTACTGCTTTCCTTAAAAAGCACTCAATAAATTCTTTTTGAACACAGTAAGCACTCAATGAATGCATGTTGAAGGACAGAAGGAATGAATAAATGAAAGGACAGTATACCTTATAAGAATTCTTCTGTGAAGTCTTTGGTAAAGTAAATAGCCACTAGTTGAATTACTTTTGTGTAAAATTGAGTTTCTTGGAGCTAAGAGTAGTGACACACACCTATTAATTCCAGCCATTTAGGAGACTAGGCAAGAGAATGTCAAGTTCAAAGCCAGCTTCAGCAACTTTAGTGAGACTCTATCTCAAAAAATAAATATATATATATATATAT